CTGCCCCCAGGGCCACCCATGTCACATGGTCACTGGAAGAGAGAGACTGAATCCTGCCCCCAGGGTCACCTGTGTCACATGGTCGCTGGAGGAGAGAGACTGAATCCTGCCCCCAGGGTCACCTGTGTCACATGGTTGCTGGAGGACAGACTGAATCCTGTCCCCAGGGTCACCTGTGTCACATGGTCTCTGGAGGAGAGAGACTGAATCCTGCCCCCAGGGTCACCTCTGTCACATGGTCACTGGAGGAGAGAGACTGAATCCTGCCCCAAGGGCCACCTGTGTCACATGGTCACTGGAGGAGAGAGACTGAATCCTGCTCCCAGGGCTGCCCATGTCACATGGTCACTGGAGGAGACAGACTAAATCCCGCTCCTAGAGCTGCCCATGCCCATGTCACCTCCTCCCTCAGCTCATGGAGAGCAGAGCTTCTCCCCAGCATCCTTCTCTGTGTGGGACTCTACTTCTGACGCCCTTCAGACAGCACTGGGCCACTGTCTTCTGATGTCTGCACGTCCTCCAAATGGGCACTTTCCACCTCCCCAGGACCCATGCTCGTCCCGCAGCTGCCCTGGGGTCTGCGCTGCTCCCTGTGCATTTTGCTGGCCAGTTCTGCTGCTCTTGAGTTTCAACTCCAGCTCCGATCCTCTTTTCCTTAGTGTACTCTATGCATCTTCAGTACAGTCCTTCTGTTTTCAAACGATGACAGACTATTTTCACCTGGACGATGATTAATCCATAACACAAATGTCCATGTTTGCTGCGGAACTGATTCTTGGGTCTCTGCCTTTCCATTTGGAATTTCACAAGCAGTGTAATGATCCAGGCTCTCAGATAGGACAACTTGTCACCGTTCTTACTGGCCATAGTCAGCAGGTCAAAAGCCCCTCTTCAGGTTAATGCCGAGTATCTCTTCTTTTCCTTCAGCTTTGATTGAAAATTAGAATAACAAGATAAATAGCATAAAATTAAAGTTAAAAAAAAGATAAGTAAAAAAATAAATGTGGAAATCCTAATGAAGTAATATTATAATTTCATATTAGAAATATTACCTATTTAACCCACAATTGTTAAGAGAATAATGTGAAAAAGAAAAACTGTGTAAAATGAAAGTGTATATAGATATGTGTGTATATGGGGGAAATTCCAGTAAGGTATGCCTTCAGTTCTGTTATTGACTTAACAATAAAGGTAAACAACTGCTTTCATACAGGACAAATTCTGTGAGTCCATAATTGGTTTCATTTGCGTTTTCAGCCGGCCACTGTGGCTCCCCAGACCCCATCGTGAACGGCCACATCAGCGGGGATGGCTTCAGCTACAGAGACACCGTGGTGTACCAGTGCAACCCCGGCTTCCGGCTTGTGGGAACGTCTGTGAGGATATGCTTGCAAGACCACAAATGGTCTGGGCAAACTCCCGTTTGTGTCTGTAAGTGAAATGTTTGTGAACTAATTCACCAGATGCTCTTTTTGATTACTTTTTTGTTATTTAAATCATAACAAAAACATGTTGAATCTTCAGAGTGAAACAGGAGAGAGTAGAGGTGCCATTTTTTTTTCTCTTCCTGACAATTCCAAACCCACATGCAGCACAAATCCTTTTAATGTGAGTTACTCTTTTTTGTTTTTATTTTTTTTTATTAAATCATAGCTGTGTACATTAATACTATCATGGGGTACAGTGTGCTGTTTCTATATAAAATTTGTTGTTGATTTAAGAAGATGCTCTTTTCATATAGGTGAGAAATGTCCACATTTAATTCACTCATTGATTCTTTTTAAATAGACCCCTGGAGAAGTGATGTCATATACTCATTTTCTCTGATTTTATCACAGTATAAAGTACATGAAAACAAAAGCTACTTATCAGAGGGTAAAGATGCTGAGTTTGGGTCTGCAGGTTAGTATTGTGGATTCCTAAATGTAGCTATCCTCCCAGAATCTTTGGAATTGTTTGTATTTTTGTCCTGTCAGCAGGAGTACAGAGTTTGTAAGCAGCCCTTCCTTTAATAGAAAGAGGGGAAATGATGCAAAATGACCATCTTCAAATATTACCTCCAAAGATAATTATAGACTCCTATTTTTAGGATAGAAGGACATACTTTTAATGCAAATTTCCTCTTCCTCTTCCAAGTAGTCTTTATTTTCCTGTGAATTAAACAACAACAAAAAAAAATGTTGATTCAATCTTAGGACATTGAAGGGTATTATGGGTGATGGGGCCACAGTAAATGGACACAGTTCAAGGGTGAAAGCTTTACTTACAAGAAAAAACGTGCCGACAAGACAAATGAAGAGGAAAACACCAGTTTTACGAACATGTGTTTCTTTTGAAAGGGCCACTGATGTGCCTCTCTGCTGTCTTGCTGTTAGTGGGGTTGTGACCCAGTGACAGTTCACTGCATCTCAGAACATCACACAATAGGAATTGACACTATTGTGACACAAAATCACTATTTGTGTGTGGATAGTTATTTTGCTAATTTCATGATGTTTAAATTGATATTGTGATAATTTTACATGGAAAATTTTGAGCCTCAATCAAATACCCATAATCTTTTTCAAAGGGCAAGTCTGACAAAATCAGCTTGTGTGTCTGAGGAGGAAATATTCAAAATTCATGATTTATGCACAAAAAACTTATCATCTCCTGTTTTTTCACTGAATCATTTTAAAATCACTTGATATTATTATTTTATTTGACCATGAAATAATTATTATGATGAACGAGGCATGTTGGCCAGGGGTTGGTTATTGTCCACAATTATAATAAAAGCCTATAGGTTCACTCGGTACTTCTATCTCCAAGTGATCCTTTCCCAAAGGTAAATACTATCTGTAAAATGTCTGATTGGTTGAAAAACCTTTCACCTGCATACTTAGCAAAGCTACACATATATTGGTATGTGATCCCACGTGAGAGGGATGACCTGCTTAATATTTAATAACACTGACCTTCTCTCTCTGCAGCCATCACGTGTGGTCACCCTGGAAACCCTGCCCATGGATCCACCAATGGCAGCGAGTTCAACCTGAATGACGTTGTAAACTTCACCTGCCACACGGGCTATCTGCTGCAGGGCGCGTCCCGAGCCCAGTGTCGGAGCAACGGCCAGTGGAGCAGCCCTTTGCCCACGTGTCGAGGTAGGAAGAGCGTCCGGGAAGTGAACCCTCTGCTCTGGGAGTGGTGACTTTTCACACTGTTCATGCATGTGCTGCCTCTAATAAGCAGTAACTTGAGTCACCTGAGTGCAGCTGGGACCAGCATTGAAGGAACGACTGCACACACACTAACATATGAACAAACAGTTCTTCTATGGAATATCAAAATTGATTATGTCTGTTGAGATGGATGAACTGACCGCTGACCAAGCATGAAATAAACAGCCACTGTTGCTTTGACATGTATGTTTTACAGACTCACTCAAGAATGAAATGGAAAAACTTACCTTTTAAGCTCCTACTTGACAGCAGGGTATGAGGAAATCACTTCAGGTTTTTATTTGTGTAGCATTTTTAAAGGAAATTCCCCCCCGTGGCATCTGTATTCATTGCATTCTTTGCAGGGAAGAAGGTGGAACTGATTGAGAAACCAGGTGCTGTTTCCCTTCTGTGTTTTCACGACCACTCAAGTTCTCCAGTGGGAGACACAGCTTTGGATCAAATGATATTCGATTTAAAATCATGAGGACTCACTCAGTTCCTCAATACTTTTTTTTTTTTCACAGCATTTTAACACTTTAATGGCTTGTATTCATTCATATCTTTGCTCTATTTTAAAAAGGTATGTTTAAATTAATTAATTAACAAGTTATACTTTCCCAGAAAAGTTAGGCATAAGGAAATGGCAATTTTGAACTATGTCTGCTGTAAAATTCTGCAAATTCTAGGCTGTGTCTTAAAGAAATGTCTTGTATTCTATGAGATGCTGTAAGACTTTTAGGGTGAGGCCCCCAGGAACACCAGTGCTACTGTCTCCTGTGTGTCTCTCCCCATATAAGGGGCCTCCAGGAAAATTTCTATTAGTACTATCAGAGGGAGGTTATGGAGCTGAGTATTCCAAATCCACCCCCCAACCTGAGCCAAGCAGAGATCAGAGAACCTGATCAGAGAGCCCACACCCGTGAGGAGGAGGTGATGGGAGATCAGAGAGCCCATACCGGTGAGGAGGAGGTGATCAGAGATCAGAGAACCCACACCCGTGAGGAGGAGGTGATCGGAGATCAGAGAGCCCAAACCCGTGAGGAGGAGG